TTACTGACTTCCCTGTGAGGTGCCTTCCAGCCATATAATCACATTATGTTTCTTAATCAGTTAGAACTTGATATAAATCTGTGGGGTAAGAGTCAAAGTTTTAAAGACCTATTTTGTCCATGCTTTGTTAGTCTTGCCAGTGCCTACTGCTAAAGCAAAATTCCTCTTGCTCCACAAATGATGCTTTTGAATTAAAATTAAATCCAACTTTGGTGACCTGGTTAGTAATTTCTTTTCCAGTTGACAGTCTTCTTATGCAGAATAGCCCTTTGTGCTTCTACCTTGTACCTTTTCCATTTGAACTGCTCACTTTGATTTGCAAATCCAAAGGGCTTAAAGGTAATGTAAGAGACTCTTTGCAAACCTGATTCCTAGATTCAGTTTTATTGAATAGTAGTCTTGCTAGACACAATACTAGAAAAGGCTTTCATGGTCAAAAATACTTAGAAACACTATGTGTATACTAAAATACCTTCGTAGAGAGTCACAGAGCTCATGAATAAAGGCTGTGAAAAATCCTGCAGAAAACAAAAGTGTTTACTATTGTTGGAGCCAGCACTTCCAGGACATATGTGCTACCCGTTAACATCCCACGAAACACACTTTGGAAAATCTTGCCTTCTAAAAAGCATGAGGAAGAATCCTAGTAGATACAGGTCCGTACAGCCAGAACTGTTTCAAAGAGGTTTGCCTATCTATGTTTACTAATATGTAAATAACACAAAATAATTTTTCAACATACAGAATTGCCTGTGTATGCCATGTACTGATGATCGGTTTTCAAGGAACTAGAATCAATTGCTCAGTTATTAATCTTTATTGAATGTAGCTATTTTCTCGGTTATTCATAAAATGCTTTTTTTCTTCTTTATTCATTAAATGCTTTTTTTCTCCTTTATTCATTAAGGGTAAGCCTCTTTAAGATTTAGTTTCTTCATTTGCCAACCCCAGTTCTAGATGATAGAAGAGAGAGAGCTATAGAAAAGACAGCCCACAAGGCCCCCTGAAACCAAGAAAGCATGGCTATAAGGAAGTCAAGAGAGAAGAGAGTTTTCAAGGAGTAGGTGAAAAGAAAGGAAGCAGTGGATATGAGGAGGATGAGGTTTGCAGGGGAAAATGACATTTGAATATTATGACTAGAAGGTAAATGTCATTCCAAAAAAAAAAAACCAATTACTAGATGGACCAAAACCCAACAAAACTACTCAAGAGATCTCCCTTCCTCCCTTCCTTCCTTCTTTAGTATTCGAACATTAGTTAAGCGTGTAGCAGTGTTCCAGGTGCTGTGGGAAGATACCTAAAGACAAGATGCACATTCATAGAAAGTCCACTAAGGAAACAGTACTAGAGAGGTAATGAGGTCATATATGTGAAATTGTAGAAAGCTACATGAAATTGAGGTATTTTGTATGAAGACAATCAATTACCACATACCAAATACCTGGTTTAGACTGAGTACTTTGCATTCAGAGGTTATTAACAATAAAACGTCAAAGCCGCCTTTGAGAAATTTGAGATTATAGTTTAATGCAAACAGCACAGGCAAATTCTTACTGCCTCTGTGATCTTGGGGCAAGTTACTTAATTTTTCTCAATTTCACTTATTCATCTGTAAAGCTGGGATAACCGGCACCCATTCTGTAGAGTGTTAGGAGGATGAAATTACACTTAATGCAGCTCATGTGATGTTCAGCATAGTGTAATTTGTGGGTAGTAACTTTGTTTTTACAGAGTTGGTATAAATCTCAATTCATGAACTCAGATATACAAGGAATATCTAAGTCGCTTACTGTATTCAAATCAATTTTAAGAGGATTCTGAGCGTCTCCTGCCTGGCTGGTAGGACATTTAACTGTAGCTATTCTTAGAGCTCCCACCCTTACCCCGGGGTCCTGCAGAAGTCCCTGTGAGACTGTTTTGATCATCAGTTATCTGGTCACCCTAGTTACTGTAGAAATACCCTTATCCCTGTCCAAACGCTCCTGCCAAGCACAGCAGCCAGGCGTGGCTTGTAACCTTTGAGACTGTGCGTCACCCAGACAAGCCTCCCTGAGCTCTGCCTTCCAGCAAAGCCCTTGCAACCCACAGATGTCTCTCTCCAGTCCCAGAGGTCTCCTCTCTCTGAGCCCTCATGACCCTTGCCTCTGTCCACCTGCCAGACACATATGATTCCACTTTGGTATCATGGTACCAATATTGGTACCAATATATAGTACCAGTATTTTTTGGCCTTAAAAAATGGCTATTTCATTTAGTTCAAACTAATAACTATTCAATGGATTTAGCTTTTTTTTTTTTTTTTTAAGTCTGGGTGGGCAACTGACTTCAGTCTATTTGTTGCTTTTCAAATAGCAAAAATCCCTGAGGCAGGTAAACAGACTACTTTTTTCGAAGCAAGGGAAAATAGAAATAAAAAATATACATTGAAGTATTTTGACACATTTATATGGTAATAACAACAATGTTAATGCTAATAAAACTCATTATTTTTATTATAATATTCCTCATACCATCCCCCTTTCTCCATCTGTATTGTCAGTGCGTGATTCATGGGGCCTTAGATTATTCAGGCTGTGTTGATTGTCTAGCTTTATCTCTCCCTCCTGCATACCATTCACACTTCAGCCATGCCACCCTACCAGCAGCAACCTGTCTTCTCACCATTGTATCAACTCTTCTGTCTTCCTGGAAAGCACCTTTCCCACCTCAACCTTGTCGTGCCAGTAAATTTCTACTCCTCCTTAAAGACTTCGCTGAGACATGGTCTTCTGTCAGAGAGAAGATGTCTTCTCTGTGTTCCTATTCCCAAATTTAAAACATCATCCTCTATATTTTCATAGTACCTTATACTTAAGGCACTTAGACTTAAGGTGATCGAATAATTCGTCATTTAAACTGGGACCCAGTTTAAGAGTGAAAGAGGATGCTGCTACTAATTACACCAGAACAACAGACATAAACCAGGACTGCCTGAGGCAAACCAGGATGTACTGTAACCCTACTTATCTTTACATTGCTGTAATGATTGTTTACATGTCTGTCATTCCCACCCCACCCCCCAAACACACACACACACACACACACACACACACACACAGAGGCAGTGAATCCCTGGAAGGTGTAGGCCTTAGCATCTAATATGACTGCTGACATAGTAATTGACTGATTAAATCTTGGGAATTTTATTGGAGCAGAACATTCTAGACTAGTGAAGTGGTTGAGACAAACAAAAGGCGATAGGAGGGAACATGTGCAAGGAAAGCAAGTACACCAGTTTGGGAGGAGCAGATGACTGCGGATTGAAACATAATTTGGGAAAAGATTGTGGAAACTCTTGATTTTCAGGTTCAGGAATTTCTAACAAAGTGTAGGAGCAGGGGAAGGTTTAAACATGGGGCGATGACATGAAGGATAACTGATAGTTGAATGTAAGCTGAATTAGAGGGAGGGAAACGCAGAGAGGACTGAGGAGACTATTTGGATAAAAAAGATGAAATTATGAATGCCTGGACTAGGACTCTTTGTCATTTAACCTTTTGTGCTTGATGAAAACTTAGGACCCTTTAGATTGCAAGTGACAGAAACCCAAATTAACCTGGTTTAACCAAAAAGGGAAATTTATCAGCTCAGCTAACATAAGTATACAGGCATTACTGGATCCAGGTTCTCACACAGTGTCATCCCATCAGGACTGTTCTCTCCATCTCTTGGTTCTACTTACCTTATCGACTTCCTTCTCAATGGAGTTCTCCCCACAATGGACATCAGTAGCTTCCAGCCTACTTTCTACCAGCTTAGCAGCCCCAGTACAAAGAGAACATCACTTTACCAATAGTTCAGCAAAAATCCTGCAGAAGGCTCTCTAGATCATGAAAATCAAATCACAGAAATAAAATTATCAAGAAGAACCATAGAAGCGATGAGCTTCCAAATTAGCAAGAAAAGGAAATGTACTCATTCCAAAATGATCTAGGTTATATTTTTTCAATATATTTAAAATATAAGAAACTTTATGAGAGTCATTATCTTTAATTCAATCAATATTTTTACATATTATGATACTGGACATATCATGCTAATTATCTAGACAAAATCGAAATTAGTTCACCTTTTCAGTCCTACCTGTAGATGCAACAGTATAGGAACTGATCTTTGAAGAAGTCATAATGGAGCCAGAGGAGGACGGAAAAGAGTGATTAAAATGGCTCTGTCTTCGTGAGAATTCCTATTTGGTTTTGTTGAGAAACCAGCTGATAAACCTCTTCATTCTGAAATGGCAGGATCTATGTGTCTGAGAAACACATACATTTATTTGTAGAATTGATATCATAATACTGAGAACACTATAAATGTGAATTTCCTATGAAATTTATGTTCTGAATAAAGGGTATAATAATGTTCAGAACACAAATCCCAAACAGAGATACAAAGATTCATCTAGTATTAAGTAGATTTTCAATAACAAGAGGGTGAATATAGAATAACTCTATTTGGTGTTCAAGTTATACATACATATACTTACATATACATATAAAAATATATATATTTGTGTCTATTTGTATATAATATGAATGAAATACTGCACCAAATATAGTAGCTATCACTGATTGGTAGGATTTGGTACAATTTTAGTTTTCTTAGTTTCTTAGTCTGAATTTTTTACAGTTTCTAGAATGAATGCGTGTTACTTTTAAATGAGAAAAGAAATCAAAAAAGTTTCTTTAAGAGGAAAAAGAATTCTGACATAAAGGGAAACTAGCACTGCCCTTTGAAGTGATGTCATGTTGTCCTTCTCCAACTTTTTCCCCCACAAATATCCAGGATTATCTCAGAAATTATATTGAGTTTGATGAACCATTGACCTGAAAGACTGTGGCATTTCTCTTATTATGTAAATATTAATCAAATACATGTTTACAATATTATGCTAGAGTAAGTGATGAGAATGTAATCATATTCATTGATACCTACCTTACTAAACCATTTTTATTCCTTTTAAGAACGCACCTTTCAAGAACAGGGTTCTGATACAGAAAGTAATGTGAACCAAGGATCCAGCTTGATAGAAGCTATCTTTAAAGTATTGTACCACTGCAATTTTTCTCCACAAACATTTGGAAATGTTTTTGTGAGTTACATGGAAGAAGAACATTTATGGGACTTTTTATATAACATTCCAGGTATGAGAAATTTTCTATTTGTACAAGAAGTGTTTTATAGATACTTAAATATATCTTTAAAGATGTTTTAAAATTTTTATTAATGTCAGTTTTGCTGAATCTGTTATTTGTAAAGGATTATCTTACATTTTTTCAGTATAAAGTCTTCTTTTGGGAATCATTAACCATTAGTTCCTGTCAAAATTTAATATACTTGGGACAAGGGTGAGGGGAAAGTTGAGGGGGGAAATTATGTAATGCAGATTTCTTTTTTTATTATTAGGTAGTGTTGTCTCATAAAAATTTAATATTTACCACAGATTATGTTTTGCTATTGAGCATATAAGAAATTAGTAAGATGTGAAAAATACTTTGTGATTCTTGGGTGCTTTTATTAATAAACAAACTGATGTACAAAACTCTTCAAATGTAAAAGGCATTTATTATTATGATCATAGTGCATCTCTCTCTACAAGGCAATTATGTCCTATCATTGTTCTGGGTACAGTATGTGTTTTCCCCAGCCGTATTGTTCTTTTGCCCGCAGCTGGAGTGGATATTAAAGACAGAACCGGTTGCATATCCGAATAGGAAGTGTTCATGGGTTACCCCACCTTCAGGACCAGGTGTAAACATTCTCACATTGTTTTTTAAAAAAAATTTTTTTAATTTATTTAATTAATTAATTTATTTTTGGCTGTGTTGGGTCTTCGTTGCTGCACGTGGGCTTTCTCTAGTTGCCGCGAGCGGAGGCTACTCTCCGTTGCAGTGCGCGGGCTTCTCATTGCAGTGGCTTCTCTTGTTGCGGAGCACCGGCTCTAGGCGTGCGGGCTTCAGTAGTTGCGGCATGTGGGCTCAGTAGTTGTGGCTCACGGGCTCTAGAGCACAGGCTCAGTAGTTGTGGCACACGAGCTTAGTTGCTCCGCGGCATGTGGGATCTTCCTGGACCAGGGATCGAACCCGTATCCCCTGCATTGGCAGGTGGATTCTCAACCACTGCGCCACCGGGGAAGCCCTCTCACATTGTTTTATCCTTAATATTCTGCCTTTAAATCTCTATACTTAATGTCTTGGGAAAATGAAGGATGAGGACTTAGTGGTTATTCTGTTGGTCCATTAACTATTTAAATCATTTACATTTGGCTTTCAACCTATATGCTTTCTTATACACTTTTTTGGAACCGACCAACCTTTCCTTAAAATATTTACTAGAATCCATATAAAAAATCTAACTGGCTCATATCATGGTTTCCTTCTTCCTGTACTTTTTAACTATCCTCCAGACATGAATACCTTTTAAACTATTTTTAAGTCATTATGTTACATCTTCTCTTGTTCATTATCCCTGCAAAGTAGCAATAGATAACTTTATGTAACGATTTCCAAACCTGAATCTATCACTTAAAGACTCTGTAATAATTATCTCCTTTTAAAGTCTTATTTTCTAGTTTTCATGTATTCTCTCACTGTTTCCTTTTAACCCCCAAAATGGTCAGTCTTCTAAGTTTAAAAGACTGCATTATTTCTGATGTAGACTTTATTGAACTGAAAGAAAAACAACCTTGAAAGCCCCCTCCACCCCCTGCTGGTTTTAGTTGTTTCTGGCCAGGGTAAGAGCCGAATTCTCTCACAAGATTATAAAGAATTGGTGACCCACATGCTTCAACCATTATTTATCTTTCAGTTCTTGAGTTCTTGAACCATCTGTCACTCAGCACAAAACTGTACTGAAAATGACTTAGAAGAGATCAATGGGTTTCAGGTGGTGGCCTGAGAAAGCAAAACTGCTACTTGCTTCTAATTAGTCTTCTCTCCCATCTACACATTGAACAAACCCGCCTCCCCATGGTCAGACAACTCTCCTGGAACAGGAACAAGTAGTACACATATTCATAGAGCCCGAATTTTGTCGACGGGCTCAAAGGGGCAGAACTTCAAACTGGTGAAACATCCCTGGCCTTTGTACAAGTTGTTTCTCCATCAACATTATATATTCTCTGGAACCTAAGACCTTGCAGTGGTTGTGAGGGACAGTGCCTTTGTGTTTTCTCTCCTATTTAAGTCTTTGCAAAAGTTTTCCTTTTCTTCTGTTACCAATCACAGGTATCTTAAAAATGCTATTAAGATAATAAAATATACTAATTCATAACAAAATTAAGCCCTTTATGGTGGTTTCTGTTTGACTTGAAAATATGACAGGTTTAAACGAAATACAGCTGAGACACATCATAATCCCACAATATTTGCATTTTACCACTAACAGATCTGTGTTTCAGTAAATATAATTACCCAGATCGACTGGAGTACATTATTTAAAAACTGGTGTATTTTCTTCCTCCTGAAACACCTTTCTTCCTCCTGTCTATGGTTTCTGTATAGTTTATCCATAATATATCACAGTCTTATGATTTTAGGGTATAAAGGTGAGGATGAAGTAGGCAGTATCCTCATCTTATTGCTAAGTAAACCAGGGTCAGAAATGTTAAGACTTGCCTAAGATTATCCACTGATTAAATTGCAGATTCAGAACAAAAAAACAGAATTTCTGATCACAGGCCATGTTATTTCTCTTTATTTTTTTCTGTTAGACTAAACTTTTTGAAACATTTGCTTTGTGAACATTTGAATTCCGTAATGAAACACAAAATTTGATTTAATAATTAGAAATCCAACACATAACTCCTTAGAATGAACATAAGCTAGGGGGGAAAACAAGAGTGGAAATATCCATTTAAAAAAAGATTACAAAAGATAGAAATACAAAAAACAATTAAGTTGGGGACCTCATGTGGGCATTTCAAAGGCCAATACACTATAAGTAATAGATTTGGTAGCAACCATTTCAGGCCTGTACTCTCAGAGTAGGTCAGCAATCTTTAGTTGGGCAAATGAAACTATCAAAGCGTAAGTTACTTTGACTGTACTTCAGTCACACTATTCCTTAACTCCCGTTTTCTTTTAAAAGAAATAAATGTCTTTAACACATACTGTGAATTAAACTTTATAAGAAACTACTAAACTGTTTTTCAAAGTAATCCTGTCTTTTTACATTCCCACCAGTAATGTAAGAGAGTTTGGGTTGCTCTATACCTCATCAACACTTGGAATTGTCTTTTTGCTTTTATTCAGTCTAAGGAGTATGTGCTATTATCTCACTGTGACTTTAATTTACAATTCCTTGGTGATTAATGACATCCAACACCTCTTCATGTTCTTAACAGTCATTTGAAAACAATTCTTTTGTAAAATATCTGTTCAAAACTTTTCTTCGTTTATTAATTGGATTATTTGTCTTACTGAGTTGTAAAGAGTCCTTTATATATTCTTGATACAAGTTATTTGTCAAGATAATGTATTAAAAAAATTTTCTCCACAGTCTATTGCTTACTTTTTCATTCCCTTAACAAGGTCTTTTGATAGGGAGAAGCTTGCAATTTTGATGAGTCCAACTTAACAGTTTTCTTTATAGTAGTGCTTTTTTGTGTCCTAAGAACTATTTACTTATCTAAAGAGTGCCAAGATTTCTCCTGTGTTTTCTTCTGGGAATTTTATAGTTCTAGTTTTTAATATGTAATTCTATGATTAATTTCAAGTTGTTGCTTTTTTGTGTGGTGTAAGTGTTGAAATTCATACTTTTTCATACAAACATGCAATTTTTCCCAGCATCCTTTTTAGAAATCACTGTTCTTTCTCAGTTGAATTACTTCAGTGTTTTTGTCAGAAATCAAATGAACAATTGATCAAATGCATATCTAATTGTGGATCCTCTATTCTAACACTTGGAACTACATGACTATATTATTTGCTTTCTGCTTGTCCCATCTTTATTCCTTTTAACCTTTATTTTGGTCTTCTTTAGATTAACTGAGTATTTTTCAGTATTACATTTTATTTTTGCTAATAGCCTATTAGATATAACTCTATTTATTTTAGTAGTTGTTCCAAGGTTTACATCTTATGATGAGTATCTTTAACTCATCACAGTTTACTTTTTTACTATTATACCACTTTTACATCTAATCTAAGAACCTTACACAAGTATATTTCTATTTACTCTCTCCTGTTCTTTATGCTAGTGTTGTCGTGTAATTTCTACTAATGTTATAAACCCCACAATCTATTGTTTTTTTGTTTGTTTTGTTTTAGTCAGTTACAGTTTAAAGAAGCTAAAAATGAGAAGAAAGTCTTTCATATTTGTCCATCTATCTACTATTTCTGGTACTCTTCTTTTACTTGTATAGATCTAGGTTTCTGATGGATATCATTTTCTTTCTACCTGAAGTATCAATACTTCCTTTAACATTTCATGTACTACAAATTTTCTGCCATCAATTTATTTTATTTGCATGAAAAAAGGGCTTTGTCTTCATATCTGAAATATTCTTCATCAGACATAGACTTTTGGGTTCAGAGATTTTTTTTGTTGTCTTTCGTTTTCCTTTTTCACTCAGCACTTTGAAGACATTATTCTATTTTGTGGCTTGCATTGTTTCTGATGATAAATCAGTATAGGTTTTAAAGTGTATGTTTCCTTTTATATAATGTGTCTTCTTTTTGTTGTTCATTTTAAGATTTTTCTCTTTTTCACTACTTTGTATAGGTTTTAAAGTGTATGTTTCCTTTTATATAATGTGTCTTCTTTTTGTTGTTCATTTTAAGATTTTTCTCTTTTTCACTACTTTGCAGCAATTTTATTATGATGTGCTTTGTTTTGGTTTCCTTTGTATTTATTCTTCTTGGGGTTTGTTGAGCTTTTGTATCTGATGATGTTTAGTTTTTATCATATCTGTAAATTTTTCAGCCATTCTCTCTTGGGATATTTTATCTTTTGTCCCCCCTACCACCACTTTTTTTCTGGGATTCTTATTATTAGACCTCTTGGTATTATCCCACATATCACTGAAGCTGTATTCTTTGATTTTGTTCTTGTTCTTGTTTGTTTTTTATTTTTTGGCCTTCTTTCTCTCTGTGGTTTGGTTTGGACACTTTATATTGTACCTTCAAATTCAAGGATCTTTTCT